GAAGGAGGAAGAAAATTGAGTCCTGGTCTCATTTTTTGACTACATCTTTCTCAGCTTCCAGACACTGAGGACAGTACAACACAACCAAATCACATTTCTTGGCTACTACAACTCTTATCCACACCTTACAGTGGGAAACTGAGACTTGGTGGTTAAATAATGCTCAAGATCAGGGCAGCAAGATATAGAATGGGGCGTTGAATCTCCAGGTCTGACTCCATGGCCTATGTTTCCAACCACCAAAACACACTGTCTTCCTGGGTGTCATTTTGTGCAGTTAAGAGACAAGTTTTTAAACATCAGTTTCCTGAATTTTCACAGCATGAACAAGTGATTTTCTAATGTAGATACAAGCAGCAGGGAATCTCAAAGGGAACATAAACCAATCTACTTACAATTACTTATTATAATGTTTTATTATAACCAATCTACTTATACTACTATATATAATTAAAACAATATAGTAAAGTTGAAAAACATCTATTTTTAAACTTTTGGAATATCACAAGACATAAAGGTATTTTGAGACTATTTTATTAGAGTCTATTAGAGTTTCAAGAAAACACCTCACAGAGGGAGGCAGATACAGTTGTGTTCCGTTCACAGTCAGGGCTCAGCCTGAGGCAGGATGGCAAGTGTGAGACCCGCCTGGGCAGTTTAGGTACTTAGCAAGACCCTGTCCCAAAATATAAAATAAAAATTTAAAAAGGGCTGGGGATGTAGCCCCCAGGATGAAGGTCCTGGGTTCAATACCCATCCCCAACCCCATACAAAATCAGTGGTCAGTCAATTATACCTTGTGGGCCAAAGCCAAGCTATCACCTACTTTTTGGTAAGAATACCACAGCAACCCCATGAGTTAGTCTTTGGTTATGGGAAGAAAAATCAAAAGATGCATAATATTTTATGACACAAAATTATATGAAATTAAAATCTGTCCATAAAACAAGTGGTATTAGGGGCTGGGGATTTAGCTCAGCGGCAAAACGCCTGCCTGGCAAGCGCAAGGTCGTGAGTTTGGTCCCTGGTACCGGAGAAAAACCAAAAAAAAAAAAAAACAAGTGGTATTAGAATACAACCATATTCATTGATCTATGTGTTGTCTTTGGATCCTATCATATCACAATTGCAGAGTTGAGCAACTGGGACAGAGAAAATAAAGTCTCCAAACCATAAGGTATTTACTCTTTGGCCCTTTCCAGCAAGCTTGCTGACCCGTTTTAATTTCTTGTGACTTATCTTCAGTTCAGCTGTGCATACTGTGCTACTTAATGTTCCTATTCAGTTTTTATTTTTGGCCACTGTATTTTTTAGTTTTAAAGGTTCAATGTTTTAAAATCTAGTATTTTACTTTTCACAATTCCCTAGTCTATGCACATAGTTCAGCCTTGTCTTTTATTTCTTTCAGTATATATAACTGCTTTAGAAACTCTGTCTGGTCATGATTTAGATCTAGAAAGTCCTCCAGAAATTTGATGTCTTCAGACGTGGGGTTTTCAGAAGGTACTTGGATCATGGGGAGTTACACTCATCAGAGGATCAAAACACTGATAAATACATAGCTGAATGCCATTAGGACGCCGTTAGGGCCTGGCTGGAAGGGGCAGGACACTGTGTTACCCGCAACAGCAGGCCTTGGGTCTGGTGCTCTGCCTCCTGGCTGCCATACCAAGAGCAGCCATCCTCTGCCCAATCCCTTCTGCCTTGGAGCCAGCGAACCATGGACTGAAAACACGAGACACATAAGCCTCTCCTCAAGCAGGAGATGTAGCTCAGCGGCACAGCACCTGCCTGGCAAGTGCGAGGCCCAGAGTTTGAGTCTCTGTACAAACAAATGAACAATAAGCCTCTCCTCCTTTAAATTTTGTGAGTGTTGGGTACTGTATTTTGTCCTGGTAATGAGAAAGTAACTAAGACACTGGTAAATCTAATTTGAGAAATCTCTGTGGGTTCTCCTCTGTTGTCTGTTGTTTTTCATGGTTCTCTTTAACGAGAGCTTGTTTCCTGTGTATTTAGTTATTTTTTACTGTGAGCCGCTCATTTCCTTAGGAAGTTGTTTGTGAAGTGCTCATGTCTTTCTCTAGACGGGGTTTGGGCCTGCCTCTGCCCAGTGCTTGGTGGCACACTGAAGTCTAGAATAGCTCACCTGACCTTAGTGGCTTGAGTCCCCCAGGTCACCTGAGTGATGAGAACCCTGGCAATGAACATCAACTGCTTTTATTTTATCAACTATTTGTATTTATCCTAATTCACTCGGAGCTGGGGAAATCGTTTCCATAGTCTTGGCCTACGGCTACAAACTTAATTCTACTCTATCCTTACATTGAGTCCTCTGGGATTCCAGTTTCCTATGGAAAGGGTACAAAGGGTGGCAAATATGGGAGATGAATAATCGAACTAGAGGCTAGATCAGAACGTCAGAGTTTTTGAACAGAAGTAGTGAGAATAAATGAACAGAGAGTGGAGCAGAGACAATACTTGAAAGAAGACAGTGGAGAAACTTCCAGAGCAGATGAATTCTTATATTCACAAAGTTAAATAAACTTCAGTCAAGATAAAAAGAAATCCTAACATTTGTATCCTTATTCATAGTATACGTAACTCTTTTTTATTCTTCATAAAACTATAGGAAGTGAATGCTAATTGTCTACATTTTTCATGAAGAAAAACTGGAATTCGGAAAGTTGAGTTATCAAATGTCATGTAATAGCTAGGCAGCAGAGGTTGAATTGTAATCCAAAGATCTATACTTTGCTGATGAATCCTCTCCACTCCACCAAAAAAAGAAAAAAGTAGGATCCTTAACTTGGAAATTTCTCCCTGGAAGGCAGAAACCTTTCTAACATATCTGTGTTTGGAACTGGCCTGGTACATAACAGCAAGCTACACAACTGATAATTCTACTCTGTACCACTCAACTGTCAAGACCGCAGGGGAGATGCACCCTCCTCTTTCTCCTCCTCCACTGCCGAAGACAGCTAAAGCACTGTAGTTATCATGTCCTCAATAACATATCCTTTGTTATTAATGTGATTCAACTTGGTAATTATTGTATCTCTTCCTTCTGATGGCATTTCTCTTGCTTATGGCTTATACTTTTTTTCTTTTTGCCCAGAGCACTGAATTAAGGATTTTCTAAGAGGGAAGCCCGTGGCTTTCTGGCGCAATCAAGCCCCATTTTCCAGATGTTAACATGTGGCTGACATCTCTCTACTAGACAGTAAAAAGGGCAGGCCATTTTCCCTCATAGCTGCCTCCATGATGTACAAAGGCTGAGAGAGTTACAGTATCTGAACTCATAGTAAAATGCACCAGAGCCAAGAAATGAGGCTCTAGAAAACGGAGCCAATGCCAAACAATGCAGTGGGAAAGCCAAACAGCCCCTGGTTCAGGATCTTTCGTGTTCGTGTGACTATCACCACCTGAGGAAGCTGTGGATGAAGCCTATGCAGGAGGAAAGGAGACACAATCCTGACGTTCCATGATGTCTGTCTTGGTCAGGACAGGGAATACAGATACACAAAGATGACCGAGGAAGGAGTCATGGGTTGGGTGTGGTGTATATGCCTATTACTCTAGCACTTTAGCAGCGAAGACAGGAGGATTACTGTGAATTTAAAGCCAGCCTGGAGGGCTGGGGATTTAGCTCAGCGGCAAAAGCGCCTGCCTGGCAAGCGCAAGGTCGTGAGTTCGGTTCCCGGTACCGGAGAAAAACAAAACAAAACAAAAATAAAGCCAGCCTGGGCTATGTAGTGAGTTCAAGGCCAGCAAGAATTACATAGTGAGACCCTGTCTCAAACAAAACAAAACAAAACAAGTCATAGGATGTGGCAAGGGAGTTTTACAAGCATTTAAATGTGAGTGTGAAGAACTGTGTCTCCTCTCCTGCACGTAGGGAAAGAACAGTCAAGGCATGCTGGTCAAATAGGAAAGCGCACAATGACCCACCCAACATCCACCCATCATCCATCCATCCATCCAGTGCTGCTGAGCACCTAACAAACTCACACCTGTGCTATCTAGGCACTGGAGAGACCAAGAAAGCAGCACCAGGGAAGAATTCTGGATCAGATATCCTGTACTGAAAGCTTTCTATGAATTCATCAGTTTAATTAAATCCTTTAGAAAATGTTGTTAAAATATCTATATATACAATTATCTTCATCTTATAGATCAAGCTGAGGCTCAAAGTGGTTAAACAGCTTGTCTAACATCACAAATAGAATAAAAGGCAACCTAGAACTTGAACCAAGCTTTGCCTGGCTCTGAGTCTATGCCCTTAATAAAGCAGTAACTATTATACAATTCATCATAGTACAGTAAGATAATTGGTAATGAAGAAAATTTAAAGGGGGCACAGCAGAAGAGACAATTTTATGTAGAGAGGAAATGATCTTTGAGTTTTCCAAGTGGACTAGCAAAGCAAGGGAGTTTGAGGCACAAGTAATAAGCACTTACAAGGGTTGAGAGAAGAGGGTTTACCTGTGGCAGACATGACAAGCTCTGAAGCTGGAGAAGACAGGGGACTGAGAACAGAAGACTTTGCATGTCAGATGGAAAAGCTCTTTGCCCTCTACTCGGTAAGAGCAATCTTTCCAGGGGCTTTCTTGTCCCTCAAACCCCTGGCAGTGGCCTCCAACAAAGAGCTGCCTGTGCCAGCCAGATCAAAGGGCTCATGTTTGCAGCTCCCACTCTATCCTTTTCAAGCCCCCTATGGACTGTAACATGCTCAAAGATTCTGCTGACAACCTGATGGACAGAGACCTCAGGGGACCCTCCACAACCACTGGGGTGAGACAAGTGCCCCTTTAAAGTTAGCCCTCCAGGGCTGGGGATTTAGCTCAGCGGCAAAAGCGCCTGCCTGGCAAGTGCAAGGTCGTGAGTTCGGTTCCCGGTACCGGAGAAAACCAAAAAAAATAAAATAAAATAAAATAAAGTTAGCCCTCCAAATCTCACAGACTCTCTACTATAGAGCCAAGGCATTTTCTCATTCTACTCACAGTTTAGAGTCCAGCTTCAGGAGGAAGCCCAACCGATCATACTCTGAAAAAGAAAAGCAGAAAACATCACTGAAATCAAGCCACCACTGATACTAGCACACTGCACTCCCCAGACCTAGACCACAGAGATGGAGAGTCCTTGGAAAAGAATATAAGAATATAACAGAATTGTGTGGAAAATATATAATTCAACTCTTTTAAAAAACAGAACCAAAACATAGGCCACAACTGAACTTACATCACGAACTAACTCCTGAACACTTCTTTTATGAAGACCCAGGTCCAATGCAAGGGGATGTCCCAAGTCTTCTAAGGCCAACCTGTCCTACACTGACACAGAATTGCCTTCCTGCATAAATGAGGAACTTGAACTGAAATTTAGTAAACCACACAACTGGACATTGGAGATGGAAGAAATCTCTGCCTCCACTTAGCTCTGAGCCTATGATTTGCTAAATGAGCCAGGATGCTCATTTATAAATGAGTATGTGGCAGTCAAGTGCTCCTCAAATCCACGGCAGCAATTCTCGCTGCAGTAATCACAGAGAACTGATAGAACTAATTACATAAGAATAGGAAATTTAACATAAAATTTTAAAACAGATCAGTAAGATGTTTGCAGCAAATGCTAAGTCATCATCATTTTAATATTCTGCCTCCTTTAAAGTGAGGCTGAAGCACTTCAGAATTGTATGGACAAGAAATTTTTTTAAAAAAGGGCATTGGGGTCCAGGAGGGGAAAGCATATAGAAAATAAACTTGGGGAGGCAGAATACCAAGTGACTGTCCTGTGTGATTGCTGTAGGCTTACATCTGTCTCCAAGATATTCCATAGCTAAAACTTAAGCGCAAAGCACTGATTTCATGATTCACACTGTCCACAAAATAAACCAGAACTGTACCTATTTCCAGTACTAAGTCTTGAGGGAAATTTCCTATGTCCTCAAAAGTATTTGTCTAATGAAGATGACACTTTGCTCAGCGATTGCTGTGTATGAGGGGATGTGTGCACATAAACGTGGTCTATGAATGCAGTATACAGCTGGCCTGGTTCACTCAAAAGATAAAACAGAATACCACAACCCAAAAACGGGATGGGAAAGGTCAACATACAAAGCTTTAGAGGAACTTGGCTATAGGAAGCAATGAATAGCCAAGAGGGGGAAGTAGCACATACTGACAAGTACTGCACAGAAGTCATTCTGCAAGGCCAGTTGAGACCAGACGCCTGGCTTTCACAATCAGCTGAGTTGCGGTCAGAGAGCAAATCCTCTTCTTAACATCAAAGATGTCGAGTAGGACTCATAACTCAATGGAGTGCTTCCCTCCCAGGAGAATTCCCTTGGGCAAGTGAAGCTTGGCTCGAAATAATTCTGGTTTTGTTCTGATACACACAAATAGATGAGAATTTTCTTAACATGTCAAGAACTTATAAAAAAGAGTAAGAAAACACTAACTTTAAAAAACTAAAACCTCAATTTGTAAAAAAGTTCATTCAAAAGTTTAGTAACTTTTAAACACCTCTACTTTGTCATTCCACGAAAAGGAAACTTCACTAACTTGCCAAGTATATGTGGCTTGTTCCCATGTGGCGACAACCTTGTGGCAATTATCATGCCACTGCTCCTCAGACCTAAGCAAGACTCCTGGCCGCACAGTGTGTGCGCATACACACACACACACACACACACACACACACACACACACACACCTGCAGACTCCTTCCAGAGAGGCAAATTCAAACTCAGGGGCCAAGTAAGACCCCAACACAAACGAAGGAAGCAGAAGAATGTAATACCCTTTTGCAGCAACTGGTGTTACTTATTGTAGTTATTGTTGAAATGTCATTATTCAATTTACACCCCCCCACACACACACACTCACATCTCCTGAACAGTAGTCATAATTATATTGATTTATTTTCAAGTGGCAACTTGAGTTTTTGAGTTTTACATACACACACTGATTACATATTCAACAAATGAAAACATTACATTTCTAAAGTAATTTTGTTCCTTTCACAACCTGTTCTTTAATGAAGCAACACAAGTGTCAGAAACATTCCCCTTTATTCTTTGGGAAAGGGTAACTTCCTTCAATCGACCCTGTCTTGGCGTCAGTGAGAGCGCCAGCCCATGGGAAGGCGTGCATGGTGTGCCCTGGGAAAGGGCGGCCTCCACCAGCTCCAGCTGACTTGCCAGGCAGCAATGCAGGCCCAGCATTACCACATCTGATTTTTCAAGCCAGAGATTTTAGAATTTTAAAGCAAAATCTCTCAATCTATAAACACTGACAGTAGATTCAAGAAAGGTATCTAAAGGTTGTATGGACCAACCACAACAAGGCTTTGGGCATGGGCAAAATTCAGCCAGCACCTAACAGTTTGTAAGTAATGCAAGCTGTGGACGCAACACATAGGAGATGCTCAATCAGTATTTGTTGACTGTTCTTATTAGGATTACTTGGTCACAAAAGTTATAAAGCTAAATCAAATTACTTTGAAAAGGAAGGCTCAGCCAACATTCTAAGGTAATACCAAAGTGAAAGTAAGCTACAGAATTTCAAAGGAAATATCTAAGAGCTTGTTATATAATTCTAATCCCCCCCAAAACACACACCAAATTTGAAAGTAATCTGTTGTCAGAGGTGAAGAGAGGATGTGAAAACCTTCTTTGGGGGAACTATGTTATGAACCACCTCCCTGAAAGGGCAGAATGGACAGTCTTTTTTCTCCCTCCAGCCTGATGGAGAAGTTTAACATAAAGCTCTTAGGGTATGGGGCCACGGCAGACTGCCTGGAGCCCATCTCCTACTTAATAGGCAGCAGAGGAGAGTTGGTCAGGACTGGCCTGCACTCCCAGAAACTGCAGGAGAAGGGATGCATGAATGAGCTAGGGTGGGGTGGGGTTTGGGCCCTTCCTAAAACATCTGCCTGGAGGGTTAACAGGCCCTGCCAGAAGAGAAGAAACAATCATCTAGATTCCCAGAAGCTGCAAGAGTGAACCGGCAAGGCTGGGGCAAGGCCTTCAAGACTGACAGGGATCTATGAAATGCCCTCAAGAGCACCCACATTCCCCAAGAGCCACGGTAGAGATGGGTAGGTCCACAAAGTGCAAACACTAACCTAGGCTTTTCTGCTTATTCTCTCTCTCCCCACTGCGTAACAATTCCACAGCTCAGAAATAGCAGCCAGCAAACTGGGGAAGGAGGTGAAGAGGCAAGTCAGCAGGCCACCTTCCCCTAGGTCCTGCATGTGCAGGTATGGAGGCCTAATTGGGGGAGCTTTGCATGAATTAAAAGCTATGACTATTAAGTGAGAGGGGATGCTCTAATTCTGGAATTGGCAATTCAAAGTGACCACTGACCGTGGGATTTTTTTTAACTTTAAAAAATTTATTTATTTTTATTTTAAAGAGAGTAGTAAAAGAAAAAAAGAACGATAGCAAAATACAAACAAAACAAAGCAAGGACATGAAAAATGATACAGGGTTTCAACCAAATGATAGGGATTAACAGTGGTTGTTATATTACATATTGGTATCTTCAACAAAGTTGCTCAGATTACCAGATACAAGACTGGAAGATTGATCTGAGATGAGAGAAAGAAGAAAAAGAAAGAAAGTACTAAGGCAATATATATATATACATATATACAGGTATATAGAAGGATAGCTGGGATAACTGTACTGCTGATGTCTGGTGGTTTGTTGAAGGGAACAGTTAGTGCTTGAATTTTTTTTTTTAATATTTTGACCAGTTTTGCATGCTTGTATCTGCTAATCTGAGCAACTGATGTGAAGACAACAATATGCAATATGACAACTGTTGGTGAGTTCTTACCAACCTGTCCAGTGAAAGTCTGTATTGTCTCTAATGTTTTTTTAAATTATTATTTTATGACCATGAGATTTTTACTCCTTCAAAGATGCGAAGAACTTCATTGGACTTCCATGCTGAAAATAATGTAAGTGGACAGAGGAAGCCAAGTGAAGGTGATTTCTGTGATTATTCACCACAGATCACACACGTACAATATACTGGGTGCACTAACTGTGGCAAATCAAGCAATTTAATGGTTTGCATAACCAAACTGTGGGAAGAGACAGTGTGCAGGGCTTCAGCAATCACAGAAGGTGACCAGGACGCCATCAGGTCTCCCTCCACTGGCTTTCCTCTCCCAACGCCAGCTTTCTTTGTAACTTTGGCAACATGGTCAACAACTGGTCAGTGTGCATCTTCAGCCTTGTCCCAGAAAAGGGATAGTGACACAGCCTCTCAGCTCCTGATGGCAAAACCCCTGAAGAGGTGCAGGGGTTGGCCTGCTTGCAGCAGCTCTTCACTCCTGTGCTGGTCACAAACATCAAGGATATGGGGTCTGTGAAAATGTTAAGTCCCCGTGATGCACATGGCTAGGGGGAGCTATCTGCAGTCCTGTGGGACCCGTAGGGATCATCCTACTTGCCCCTTTCCAGTGTTCTTTCCCTGGGTTCTGAGAGTTTTTGCATCTGTGTGTTTAACTGAAAAATACAAGGGGTCCCTCAATGAATTCCCAGAGCTCTGTGTGCAGCCCCCTCTGCTTGGGTAATCTGCCTGAAAATTCTAGCTGCTCTGCCCTCCTCAACGTTCTCAGCTGTCTCCTCAGGAAGAGCCTGGAGTTCCTGGGTTCTCTTTCCCTATACTGTGGCTTGGAACTATTTCCAGGTGGTTAGCTTGGGCAATTACAGAGTTAACTGAAAACTGGGGTCCCTTTTTTCATTGATGGGTATTCTGTGCTTCGTATTATTCAAGGTCTAAAAAACTTTTTCACATATTTTGAGTTTTTTCAGTTGTTTCTTCAGCTTTTCCTTGTTCAATCAATACTTCACCTTGCTCAGTACTCGGTGCAGTCTGCCCAACTCTCTACACTGCACCCAATCCAAACGTCTCATGAGCTCACGCCTGTACATCCAGTTGCCTCCTGAACATTTCCACTCTAATGTCCCCTGGTCACCCAGAACTCACAGTGTCCCACACAGCTCATCCTTAGCATGCTCACAAATCCCA